TGATAAGATCTCCTGGCTTTATGAAGCCATCCTGTGTAGCTCGTTGGGTCACAGAGGTGCACAAGCCATCACATCACGTCAAGATGTAATCTCGTGAACGGTTTAAGGATGGAGGATCAGCGTTGATGTTGCCAAAACCCCTGGGTTCGGTATGAGAGAGCCAACAGATTTCAGCTGAAGAGTGGGAATCGATGATGTTACCGGTTTACAAGAAAGGTGATGGGTCTTGTGAAAACCACATGAACATTGTCTCTGAACTTCTCGATGGAATTGTATCATGTTGTTTATCTGCCGTACGCGTTTGAATCAGGTTGGTTTTAAACCTGATCGAGGTTGTATATGCCGTATTTGCACCCTTCGCCAAATTCCGGAACACTGACATTCTTTTTGTGAACCCACTTTCTCTGTCTTCCTCGATCTGAACGCGGCGTTCGACTCAGTCGATCGCCCTAAACTCGAGTGCTGCCTTCCCATGAAAGGATGTGCCCGAGGAGTTTAGTTCAGTATTACGTTCTGTTTGTACTGATAGACGAAGCCCAGTCCGAGCTTACTTTTTCGCCAAGTTCGAGACGGAAAGCGGTGTTCATCAGGGTTATCCTCTTTCCTTTTTCTATTGAATTCTGTAATATAAGTGAATATAGAAACAGCCGTGACCTCATGCGACGACAGTGTCGTAGATTTGCTCCTAGATGGTTGATTGTCTGATCTAGACGACACTGTACTGCTATGTGAAGATCTAGGTAAGTTGCAAGCTTTTCTGGATAGTTTGAGTGCCATTGTAGCCATGTTCGGTATGTGTTTTGCACCTTCAAGGTGTAGAGTGCTGCAAGATTGGGTTGGCCCAGCCTCCACCCTCACTAACTGAGGAAGTGGTCAAATTCACTTATTTGGCCAGCTATATCTTCCCGTTGAATGCACCCATTTGGAAAACGATCCTTCCATTCTGACTAGTTCTTCTCAACCCCGATTAATCCCAGATGCCTCCTGTTCATGCCACTCATCGAATATCACTCAGCGTTTTACCATCAAGGCCAGAGATT